ATAGAAGTAATAAACAGTAAAAACAAAAACAAACATTACATCACAGTTCCATTTTATTTTCAACTTCACATAACACTGAAAAGGTGTTTTGCAGTATGGTAAAGATATATATTTTCAGTTCATTTTACTTGTTCAGTGAGAGAAATCCAGTTTGGCTAGGGCTTGAACAAGTGCATTGAAATCTGGATTTGTTGAACTTCATCACTGAGAATATCTGTTCACATATGTAGGTAGATCCAAAGATTTCCTGCGATGTCCTCAACCTTCCTCGTTACAGTGCGTTGGGAGAGGGGACGTTCTCATATGCGCCCTTTTTCTCCAGGCATATTAGTGCTGCAGAGTCCAACAAACACTCTTTAATAAACTCTCCGTCAGAAAACGGCTTACTTTTTCTGGCGATTTTGTGGGATATGACATAACTTGCCTTGAAAGCTGCATCTCTGGGTATGGAAAGTTTTGTAAAAAGTCTTTGTTTGTTATGCAGTTTCACTAGCAAAGCATCCGACTCTCTTGCGCGCTCTTCATCCGACAAGTTTTTGTATTTCTCCTCATGTTTGGTCACGTAGTGGCGATTCAAATTGTAATCCTTGAACACAGCAACCTGTGTACCACAAACTAAGCGCACTGCTTTACCTTTGACTTCTGTAAACAAATACTTTCCAGTCCATGTCTTGTTGAAAACGCGGCATTCGGCATCAACTTTTCTTTTTTTGGCGTGAATTGACATTTTGAGGGTTAGCTGGCCAACATCACCCGTCTCTCACCCAGTAGGTCGGGGATCTTAAGTTCACCCGTGAACTTTTTTCATTCATGTTCTGATTTGATGGACCTCACACGGGCCGGACAGGGACGCCCAAAGGGCCGGATGTGGCCCGCAGGCCGTAAAATGCCCAGGTCTGGCTAAGAGCCTGCTTAGCGTGTCGAGATGTGAGGCCAAGGCCATGTTCACACAGAGACGATAAAACAACACAGGGAGCTGTGTGTTGTGTTGTGTACTGTGAGACAGTGAAATGCGATCCAGGAAGATTAACTTGAGGCTTATTAGTTGCCAGAGCACAGCACGGCGGTTTGTAGCACCCACAGACAGGACAGCTCTGCACAGTCATTGTGGCGGCAGCGTCAAGTTGAACCAGATCCCCTTCTGGTGCCAGTCTCTGCTGTGTAACACAGTTCCCCGATAGTGAGCCATCTTATTACATAAGTACAAATCCAGCACTTTCCTTAGCCACCGCCATCGTCCATCACGATATTTTACTGTAGACACTGTCCAATGCCAGTTCAATAGGCATCACCCATCTCTACTGGTTTATATGCATTGATATTTATTCCTTTTATGTTGTAAAGCACTTTGCAGTTTCTGGTGTTTATAAGTGCTATGTAACAAAAGTTTCTTCTTTGTCCCTCTGCTCGTCCTGCAGGGATGCAGAAGCGTGAAGCTCTGAACTGCCACAAGATTCTTCACTTTGCAAGCAAGTCTGTGGTGCAGACGCTGATCTGTGACCCTTAAGACGCCTCATAGCTTCACACCTGCTCTTACAGTCACTGGTGTGCAGTGAGATTGTGTCCGATCCACACCTGTCTTTTTTTTCTCTGTCCTTTACTTCAGGTACTTTGAGTGAGTGGGAGGAGTGAAATGTGAAGCTGTTTGCTGAATAGTCATTGAGTGTGGAAAAGGAGAGAGTTGTGTATTTCTCCACTTTCTGTTCTGGGGTCTTCTTGGAATCATTATCTTTTCAGAAAATATCTAAGGTTCAGTATAAAACAGTAAATTGTTTTAATCAAAATAACACCAGTTATAGTGTGAACATTTACTTTAATAGATCTGGGTAAATTTACTGTTTGCTTTCTCTTTCAGTCCAACCAGAAGTTCTAGAGAAAAGGTGACTTTTGTACCACTCGCCCTGGTATTTAAAGCCAGGGGGGATTTTTTTTTGCTGTTGTTTCTTGGTATTGTCTGCTGTAGCTATTAATACACTGCGCCTATTCTTCTCTAACTGGAAAATTATCTTAAAATAAGAGTGTAGACATGTGTTTCTCTTGTTTAGCTTTAAAAAAAGTTTGTAAAATATGAGAAAAAAGAAAAAAAGTAAATTGACACGAAATCCAGCAGACAGCATTGACAGGAATAGCATATTAAAATCTTTTTCACCTGGGTTGTCTGCTTTTTTTGGGATAACTCTTCTTGTACTAATTTGTGTATATAATCTCTTGATATGAACAGACCAACTAAATAAACAAAACGGAACCAACTCAGTGCCGAGTGCTCATTCATGAGGTTCTAGTTTAAAAAAGAGGTGTGTTTCAGCATGTTGATTTGTTCAGCCTGTTTAAAATGTGAGAATAAATTTAATGATGGTTGTCATCCTATTTTCAATGGCAACGTTAAAGCAGACAGTCAGTTACTTGTTGTCTCTGTTGCCTTTCCACACTCTTAATGCTAACCATAGTCTGTTAATCAGTGTTTTGTAGAGGTCAGACTTCTCAGTCACCTTGAAGCTGTAGCTTTACTGTCACACAAACTTGTGCGTTTTAGCGTGAAGGGTAACGACAGCTGTGACTGGCCATTCAAATGTAACCGCTTTTTTTTTCAAAAAATCAAATTTAATTCTGTTATTTTCAAACAGAATAAGCTACAAGAACCATATCTGTCACAGGAGACATTTTTGTGCAGAATGAAGTATTTTGCTTCTGGTATTTTGAGTACATGATTATACAGGGTGGGCCGCGGAAAAGTAGCCCGTGTACCCGTATTGCCTGTGGCACTGGTATTGGAGGTGGGCTACTTTTCTGTGGCCCACCATGTAGTTGTGTGTACGTGTGCCAGACTTTAACTTGTAATGGAGTATTTTTGCTATAGATGTGACATGTTTACTGTGGTATTTGTACGCAGTGACTCTGTTGTGTGGTCTCACCATGTAACTGTGTGTGCAGCCCTAAGAGGACGGACACAGGATCAGCTGTCACAGCAGCGCTCAGCATCCCCGCCATTCGATCACAGTGGAAACTAGCTTTTGATTAAAGCTCTAATCAGAGAGGCTTCACACTGGGGAATCATGGGAAACGTGCCAGGTGGTTAGCGGTGCAGGGTCACCTTCTTCAAAGCAGACAGTAATTCCTGCTCCATAGACTTCACATCACTAACACTGAAGTTTCTTTATATACTAATTTTATTGCATTTTGCATAAGCTACACAGGGACTCACAGAAGCAGTTTTCCTTCAAGGATTCTTTCTTATTTATCACTATTTGTTTCCATTGTGTTTTCAGTGGTGGAGAGTTAGTACATGTAGTCATGTACAAATTTGAAATATTGTACTAAAGATATATATAAAACTGTAAAAGCCATCAAGGCTTTTTGCCTACCCCTGCTCATTTGCATGAGATTTATTTATTTTTACTTAACTTAAAATTGCATGTGTGAGTAAATACATATACATATAAAGTTCAACCTTGTACAACAGTACAATGCTACACATTGAAGCATAATGATTAAACACAAAAATATAAATATTAGTTATGATGCTTGTACTTCTAACTTAGCACATTTGTAAATGCAGGACTTTTACCTGAAACTAAGTATTTTTACATGATGCTGCTTTAATTTAGTAAAAGGACTGAATTCTTTATCCACAACTAATAATTTATAAACCGGTGTAGGCACGATATTTGTTAGATGTCACTTTGGAGGGGGATACAAACTGTTTTATTATGGTGTGGACAGGAAGAGAAATGGGGTAGGAGTGATCCTGAAGGAGGAGCTTGTGAGGAATGTTTTAGAGGTGAAAAGAGTGTCAGACAGGGTG